TAATTTAGGCTACTATTTATTTATGAGATTTAAATATTGCACATTTAAGCACTATTTTAGCTGTAATAGATTGTAATAGATGTCCAAAACAAATACATTTGAACCATACTTTTGGTGCTGCACACATTTTTCATTCATTCATTCATTCATTTTCTTGTCGGCTTAGTCCCTTTATTAATTCGGTGTCGCCACAGCGGAATGAACCGCCAACTTATCCAGCACGTTTTTACAGAGCGGATTCCCTTTCAGCCGCAACCCATCTCTGGGAAACATCCACACACACACACACACACTCACACACTCACACACACAATTTAGCCTACCCAATTTACCTGCACCGCATGTCTTTGGACTGTGGGTGAAACCGGAGCACCCGGAGGAAACCCACGTTAACGTGAGAACATGCAAACTCCACACAGATACGCCCACTGAGCCGAGGTTCGAACCAGCGACCAAGCGACCTTCTTGCTGTGAGGCGACACCACTACCTACTGCGCCACTGCTTTGCCCAACACAACACAATAGCGAAAGATGACTTTTCTTATGTCAGATTGTAAGTTTTCTTGCATAGCTGGATGTTGGACTCCTAAAAAAATAATTGTGTGCAACTGTCCAAAACTGATTAGCTGAAGTCAAACCAAAGCACGGATTACATTTGGTCTTAATACCTTTTTGATGGGTTATTTTTATTATTTTTGATGGCATAGCAGTCAGAATAGAACAAATCAGCTCATGCATGGGACAAATTCTGGACTTTTGTCAGTAAGGGGTGGGTCTTCCAAACCACCCGAACCCCTTCTTGCTATGGGACTGTAAAGCCTGGTTTATACTTCTGCGTCAAGTGACCGGCGTAACCCACGGCGCATGCAACGCGCGTAGCTGTGCATTTATACTTCTGCGCGCTGTCTCTGTTGGTCAGCATTAACACTTCCGAAACGCTAGTTGGCAGTGAGGTGTAAATGTTCCTCTGTGTCGAGTTCCTTCGCTTCTGTTTTGCGATTCCTGAGCACTTCCTGGTTGTAGAAGTGACTCAAACTCGCTCATTTTGAGGCAGGAACCGGCGGACGTGCAACAACTTTAACTATGAGGTAAACACAAAACAAAACTTTCCATCCGGAGCTCCTTCACGGGACTCCACACTTATAAACAATCGCTCGCGCCATTCGCGCGGCTCTCGGTCCCGCCCCGACTCGTCAGCGCTACCAAGCCGACCAATCACAGAGCTTGCGCTACGCATCATTGCGACGTGTAGTTACATTTTTTGAGACTTGCACGTCAGCGACGCCGACGGCCTCGGCGAAGGGCTATGCGTCAGCGCCGTAGCCTACGCCGGCGTTTGACGCTGAAGTATAAATCCGCCTTAAGGTATACCGGATTTTCTATGTTAGATGTAATGTACCCGTTAACTCTGTCAGCCATATTTTAGGAGTTGGAACTTACTTTTTTCTTCTAAAATAAAGGATACTCTCGTTTTGGCCGAGATCAACCCTTATGAAACAAACTGTTAATTTAATGCGTTTACATTATATCATTTACAATAAGTAATAAAGCAGATTATCTCACTGCTGATTATAAGACTCTAGAATGTATTTGTTGCCATAACCCCCCCACCCCCAAAATATCACCTCTTTTAAAAATAAATATCATTTTTAAATGCTTTTTATTAATGTATTAACTAATTGGTTTATTAATTCTTTGCAAGCAAGAATTATTTCATTCTGGAAATCAGTGAGATACTGGAGAATAATATAAGTATACAATATATTATAATCATATATTAAACTTACTTTTTACATTTAAAGTATTGTGTAAAGTTATTTTATTTTATGAATAAAAGTTTCCCAATGCTGTCTGCCATGGATCTTCACAAAGAAGACAAAAACAAAACCCATCACGTTCCTCGATACAGTAATGAATACGACACAATCCATATTATGCCCGAGACAATCAATATATTATCCATTTATCTCTCATGTCTTGCTTTATTTCTACATTCATCAGGCTCAATAAGAGATCATCTTCTGATCATTGGCGTGTTGATGTGATTGTTTTTGAGCTGCCTCCATCTCTCTGAACACACACACAGTAAAGTGCCACTGACAGTCAACATGCTCTTCTGTCACTCTTACTCAAATCTCATCAAAATGCATCGCCGCCTATAGAAAAGACAATGAAAAACTGGAGACAAGAGCAGGAGAGCTGGAGGAAGGGAAAACCCGTGCTGATTGAGAAGATGAACACACACACACACACGCACACACACACAAACAGACGTCTGTCCCTGTCTAAAGGCACATTAAATGCTTGCAGGTCTTGATGGCATATTTATCCACAGCCGCGGGGCATTTGCTTCAAACCTCCACCCTTTCTGCTTGTCTCCTCCATCATCGCAACATCCCAAATTACACGCGGTTACATTGTTCCTGACATTTCACAGCCAGTCGAGCTCAAGGCAGTCCTTGTGAGAAAAAAAATCGCAGCAAGCTAATAACGCATTTCCTCAGCGTTCGCTATCAGCCGCTCTGAACACATGAAGGATTTCTCCAATAAAGAAATTATAGCTGTAATCTGCTTAGTGACAGAGCTGTGGACAGTAATTGTGTCAAATTGAACTCGGCCCCAGGGTGTGTTCAAGCCTCGCTGCTGTACGGGACTCGAGTGGAGACAGCTTTTTATACAGCGTCGGTCAAAAGTTTGAGATCAGTAAGATGTTATAATGTTTTTAAAAGAAGGCTGTTGTGCTCACCAGGACTGCATTTATTTGATCGAAAAATATGATCAGATTGCACAATTTTGTTATAAATGTAAATAATGATTTTATAGCATGTTTTGTTATGGAACATAATTATGAATATGATGTAGTTCATTTACTAATGAATGTGGGTAAATAAATGTAGTGAATGTGATTAATGTATTAAGGAATGTAGTTAAATACATAAAAATTTATACCTCGAAGCTGAATTTTTAGCCTTTCTCCATGTTACATGATCTTTTAGAATGTAATCTGCAATGTTAATTAGATATTATTCTCTGTCCTTCGACTTGATCCTTCCCTGATTTATCAGTGGTCACCACAGCGGAATGAACCACCTCAGATATTACTGGTGCGCAAAAACTTTTTCCTGCTTCATAGTTTTGTGGAAACTTTGAAATGTTTTTCTTTTAAGATTCTTTGATAAAAAAAAAGACTATTTAAATTACAGTATTAATTTAAAACAAAATGTCAAATTCATAAAAATAAAAAAGTGTTTGCAAGTCTTGAACATTATATTGTTAACTTGGTGAATAAAGTACATGCTTTTAATTACTTTTGAATGGTACTGTAGTAAAGTTTACTCAAAAATATGAAGCAGCCCAACGGTTTTCAACACCCCAGATCATGATATTAGAATGATTTATCAAGGATCATGTGATACTGAAGACTGGAGTAATGATGCTGAAAATGCAGCATTAAATGATGGAAATAAATTAAATTTTAAACTGTTTTCTATAAAAAAAATTATAAATTGTAATAATATTTCAGTTTTACTGTTTTTACTGTATTTCCTTATCAAATAAATGTAGCCTTTTAGTGCAAAAAAAAATTTTTTTTTTAAACATTTTACAATGTTTAAAAATGTATTGCTAAATTTCAACTGTTAGTCAGGGTTGCCAGGTTTTTGCAACAAAACCAGCCCAGTGGCCTGTCAAAAACAGCCCAATAATATCAGAGCTTAAAATAAGCCACAGCACATTCATAAAGTGCATATTTTACATCATAAATGGTTTTGTTTTTTAAATAACATTAGTTAGGACAAAACCGTGATGGCAGAAGTGAACCCTAAACTTGTGAAATAAACTTTTGTAGATATAACTTAACAACAATCCTGGAGAATCCTGCCAATCTGTTACCACAGAAATGAAAACAGCAGCACCAAGTGTGCATATCCTATTCTGTTTCATCAACCTAGAACAGGTGTTAAAATATCAATTTGGTAGTGCAAACTAAAAAATAAAAAATGAATGCAACCATATAAACATAATTAATGCAGTATGTCAAACCTTTAACTTGCATAATAAAAAACAACCAGCAGGAAGTGGTTAAAAAAGGCCAATTTTTCAACCCTGCTGTTAAGTATATTGTTAACCCTTTGATGCACTACATGGGTCTAAAGTCTGTTTTATAGCTTGTGCACCTAAGGGTAAACAGATTTTACTTACATTTTCTTTGCCATACTTCATTTCTTGCATCTTCTGATCCATGTTTAATGGGATAGTGATGTTAATAAGACTCTGGTGTTTACAGTCAGGGTCCTGCTCAGAAGGAGTGTCTCTCCGCTGGGCCGCCTAAGGTACGGATGCTCCAGTGTACTTGTTATATACAGTTTATTTGTCTCAACAGGTCATAATAACCAGTATCTCAATGTCTCTCTCAGTCTCTGTTTTCTATGCACATAAAGAGAGAAGGTTCCTCTTCTGCCTCTTCTCCACGTCCTGCTGATGAGGCTGTGCACTCTGACAGGTACCAGGTGAGCACATGTTATATTATATAAAGCTAATTTAAGTGTGCTTTATTTATTTCTGGAGAGAACACGTCAGTCAAGTGTTTGTAACAGCACTAGGTATAGTGCTGCCCTCTTCTGGACTGAAATGGAATTGAAAATACCATTTGAAAGAACATTTGGTCGTAATAATAATAATAATAATAATAATAATAATAATAATAATAATAATAATAATAATAATCGCAATAAATTCACATGAATGTTCGCTTTTATAATGTACATTTCCCAAGCTTAGTGTCACTCTGGCATTTTTGTAATTTAGTTTATAATGTGATTAAGATTACAGTATGAGTATTAAAATATATCTCGTTTTCCTTCTCTTTTTTCATTTCAGACATTTTTGCGAGTACGATCGAACAGGCAAACGAGACTGAATGGTATGTTGTCAGTGACTTACATTTCATTCATTCCCTATGCAGGCACATAAACATTCTGACCATATTCATACATCTAATATGAACAGGAGTTAATACATGAATGTCCATGAATGTGCTCTAAAAATGTTGGGTTGCTTGAACGTAAATTTGGGTAAAATATGAACACTTAAAGTCTATAATTCCCAATTAAACATCTCCCTGACCTTTGACCTAGCACCCTCACGAGCAGAGCAGATCATTGATTGACCTTTGACTCTCTGATATGTTAACAGTTAAGGAGCTCTGCTGGTGCCGGTGCTACGCCAAACACAAAGTGAAATCTGGTCATGTTTGGCCTGACTGTGGATTCCCACATGCACCTTCTTGCCCACTTTCTGGTAAGCTGCTCTTCACACACAATACCAAATTTTTTCTTTATGTCACCAAATATGTCACCAAATTTTTTCAATTTTTTAAATTAGTCATTTTAAAAATTAAAAATGAACCAAAAAGGATTATTATATCATAGTTTACTCACTCTCACTTGTTCCACACTTGTTTTTTTTTATTTCTGTTGAACACTAAAGAAGATATTTTGAAAAATGTGTAAAACCAGTAGCCATTGACTTTGAAGTCAATAATAATTTGCCAATGGTGGAGTATAATCTAGTTTTTGCTTTGAAATAAGACTATTTTGCTTTTTTTTAAATGAAGAATTCACTTTTTTTTACATATTATGTGTGAAAACGACAATATTTTGGACTTGTTTAGAAAATGCTTCTTTATTTAAGAATTTTTAGATATTTGGGCAAGAAGCAAGACAAAACTCTAGTTAAGAAAAGCATTTTTTGCGATGTCTACAGTAATTTAGTTCCACCATAGCATTGCTATAACATTCTTCAAATATTCCTCAATTGGGTTCAATAGAAAAAAAGAATCTTAACAAGGTTTTGAACCACTCAAGGATGAGTAAACACTGAATAAATGTTGATTTTTGGCTGAACTATCCCATAAAATATGCTTCAACTGGGACAATAATGTGAAATTTAAGAACTCGTGAAAAGGTGAAAATGATATATTACATTTATTATATTATATATTACAAGAAAATGAAAACAAGTATAGTTTATTCAGTCTCACTTGTTTCAACCCTGTTTGAGTTTCTTATTTCTGTTGAACATAAAAGAAGATATTTTGAAAAATGTTGAAAACCAGTAACCAATGACTTTGAAGTCAATAATAATTTGCCAATGGTGGAGCAAAATAATCTAGTTTTTGCTTTGAAATTAGACTATTTTGCTTATTTTTAAGTAAAAATTAACTTTTTAAAAACATATTATATGTGAAAACGACAATATTTTGTTCTTGTTTAGAAAATGCTTGTTGATTTAAGAATTTTTAGATATTTGGGCAAGAAGCAAAACAAAACTCTACGTAAGAAAAGCATTTTTTGCGGTGTCTATAGTAATTTAGTTCCACTATAGCATTGCTATAACATTATTCAAATATTCCTCAATTGTATTCAACAGGAAAAAAATCGCTTCAAGGTTTTGAACCACTCAAGGATGAGTAAATGCTGAATAAATGTTGAATTTTGGCTGATCTATCCCTTTAAAAAGGCCTCATCTGGAATACTAATCATAAATCCTTTCAGGGAGCAAATGAGTATGAACTCGTGAGATTGCGAAAATGATATGCTATTTAATGTAACATTACTCCCTTGGCACAGTAAGACAGTGAGTTTTAAGTCTTTGTACTGTGAAATAATGATACTCTGTCATGTTGAGTTTTCAATCATTTATCAGGGCTGTTAATTTTTATGTTATTTCATTAAGATCTAAAAAAGGTGAGCCGGACGATTGGTCACAGCTAATTGATCAGATTCTCTCTAATTAATGATCCTCTCTTCGTTGCGGTCAACTTGACTGCGATTGTAACGGCCTCCGCTTTTGTTTCTACTGTCTCTTTGACTGTATTATGAGCTGAGGCTCCTAAAGATTAATGTCCCTTAACATCATTAGAAGCTCAGCAAAACACAGAGGTTTTAATGGAGTGTTGGATCCTGTTCCAGCTTGCTGAATTTTACCTCCTCCTTGTGTGTGTGTGCGTTTTAAAAAATGTGAGATGCAGAGAACACTGGAAAACCTGTATTTATCTTTGTTTTATAATCAGATAAACAGATCAGTCCAATCCCCCTTGCTCTTTATTTATCTTTTCAGGCCATAGAAGCACTTGTGTCTTATCAGTTTGAATCTGTGTTTATTTCCATAAAACTCTACCTCTAAAGAAAAAATCTAATCAGAAACTGTGTATTTAACGCTTCGTAATATTAGATAAGACAATATGAAAAGTGTGAAGCATCATCTTTATTTGTTTATTTCTTTTTTGCAGCACGCATTGGGAAGCTAAAAAGACGGAAAGCAGAAGAAGAGCAGGTATGATGGAAAAAACTTTTCTCTCCCGAAGTCTGTGTGTCCTGTAGATCTGCTTTTACTGGCAGCTCTCAGACTGTCTGTGATGTCTGTGCTTGAGTGACAGGCGGCGTAAGACGTGCCGTCCGCTGTCCTCTTCTGCTAACTCAGCCGTATAATGTAGAAGACAGGTAGACGTGGCCAGGAGGATCAAACAAACTATAAACCTGCATGTGAAATGTTGTTTCTTTTATTTCCCGTTTCTTTACGCAGTGACCTAATGTCAAGAGGGAATTCAGGGCAGGTAGCAGATGAAAGTGCTGTCTTGAGGCTGGTGGAGACATTTTCTCCAGAGATACTGATATGTATGTGTGTGTGTGTTTTACAGAGAGACGGCATGTGTGTTGTTGAAGATGGCTCCGTGATTTCAGCCGGAAGGGAGTTTGAATGGGCTGAGCAGAGAAGAATACAGATGGTTTCTGTTCTCAGAGGCTTCAGAGGTATAAAACACACAAAAACGTAATTGAACTATGAGCCAAATGTACAGACGCAGCCATAAATTACAATCTGTGTACGTAAGGAATCCGACTCGAGTCAGATATGAGATTAGAAAAAGATATATATAACGTTTATTATAATGGAGTCTTGTTCCATCATGTTTTTTTTTATTTCAAACATTTGACATTTTTCTTGCAATTGCATGTTAATATACACTCACTGGCCACCCTATTAGGCACACCTTACTCGTACCAGGTTGGATCCCTTTTTCCCTTCAGAACTGCCTTAATCCTTCGGCATAGATTTAATAAGGTACTGGAAAAATTCCTTAAAAGATTTTGGTCCATATTGACATGATAGCATCACACAGTTGCTGCAGATTTGTTGGCTGCACATCCATGATGCGAATCTGCCGTTCCACCACATTCCAAAGGTCCAAAGGTGCTCTATTGGATTGAGATCTGGTGACTGTGGAGGTCATATGAGTACAGTGGACTCATTGTCATGTTCAAGAAACCAGTCTGAGATAATTCGTGTTTTATGACATGACACGTTATCTTGCTGGAGGTAGCCATCAGAAGATGGAGACACTGTGGTCATAAAGGGATGGACATGGTCAGCAACAATACTCAACTAGGCTGTGGCGTTGACACTATTCTCAGTTGGTACTAATGGGCCCAAATGTGCCAAGAAAATATCCCCCACAGCATTACACCACCACCAGCCTAAACTGTTGGTACAAGGCAAAATAGATCCATGCTTTCATGCTAATGACACCGAATTCTGATTCTACCATCTGAATGTCACAGCAGAAATCGAGACTCATCAGACCAGGCAACATTTTTCCAATCTTCTATTGTCCAATTTTGTTGATCCTGTGTGAATTGTAGCCTCGATTTCCTGTTCTTTGCTGACAGGAGTGGCACCCGGTGTGGTGTTCTGCTTCTGTAGCCCATCCGCCTCAAGGTTGGATGTGTTGTGCGTTCAGAGATGCTCTTCTGCACACCTCGGTTGAAACCTTGAGTGGTTTCTATCAGCTGGAACCAGTCTGGCCATTCTCCTCTCTGACCTCTGGCATCACAAGGCATTTGCGCCCACAGGTCTGCCGCTCACTGGATATTTTCTTTTTTTGGACCATTCTCTGTAAACCCTAGAGATGGTTGTGCATGAAAATCAAAGTTGATCAGCAGTTTATGAAATACTTAAACCAGCCCGTCTGGCACCAACAAACATGCCACGTTCAAAGTAACTTAAATCCCCTTTTTACTCCATTCTGATGCTCAGTTTGAACTGCAGCCAATCGACTTGACCATGTCTACATGCCTATATTCTGCCATTGCTGCCATTTGATTGGCTGATTAGAAATTTGCGTTATCGAGCAGTTGGATGGGTATACCTATTAAAGTGGCCAGTGAGTGTATATCGGTTTACGTTTTTCTGAGACTAGCAAGTTTGTACATCAAACTTTAAAGTAAGAATCTAGCTGCTGCTACATTTTCATTGCAATTCTGTTAAAGAAAAATGTCAAAATCGTAAAATGTAGCCTTGAAACTGTAATTTTGAAGTCAGAATTGTAATAAAACAAATTCAGATTTGAGAGAAAACCAATAGACTTGAGATTGCAAGTTCCTCACAAAAACTGTGAAAAGTAACATCAGAATTCAGAAAAAAAGGCTGATTTGCTCAAAATAAACCCAGAACTTTGGAAATAGCAAGAATTTGGAAATAGCAAATATAAGTCAGAATGCTTAATGTATATCTCACAATGCTTGCAAATCTGAATGTATAATATTCTGAAATACATTTGACGAGTGCAAGAAATAAGCTGAATTATGAGATGGGAAGTCTCAAATCTGACTTTACTAAATGCATATCTAACTCTAAAGCAGCATTACAAGCTCAATCCACAAAAAGATAAAATAAAAAAAATACTGTAATGTATTGATGAACAGTCAAATAATACACATATTTTATCCAATCTATCTGTTTATACGTGTTCATGTTTTAAATTTAGCAGTAAGCTTAGTGATTAGCTAAAGCAAATTAATAGTTTATTGAAATCAAAAGCAAGTGGCATCAGTTTGTACTCACAATCCCTCTCTTGTGAGGTTCAGTGATTGTCAGTGTAATCAGAAAAGCAGCTCACTTGGTTTGGCAACACTGCAGTGTGTGTGTGTTTGTGATAGTTTCACAACAGACACGTGAGGTAATGGAAGTGGTGTTAACCTTTTGAGAAGGAGATTACTGTAAAATCGCTTAACCAGGGGTCAGAAACAGAAACAGAGCGGATCACAGAGGTCGCACAGACCTTTATGTCCTCATTGGCACTTTTCTTTTTTTTTTTAACCACTTTGCAGTTCATCAGTTGTGCACATTTGTCTTAACCTAAATCTCCTTTTGAAATACACACTGTCACATACATGCAATACATCCTCTGTTGTTCTGTTAAAACACTGTTTTTCATTATGCTCCTATCAAATGTCTTCAGGTTTGGTGAGCAGCACACTGAAAGAGCATCAGGATAGTGATGCAGATCTGGATGTAGACGGCGATGATACTTTGGAGTATGGAAAAGTGCAGTATCCTTTTTACAGTATGCTGTCGGAATGGCACAAGCAAAATGCATGTGTCTGTTTTTTTCATTCAAGCATATGTAATAAGAAGAAATGTTTCCTCAGCAAATGATCTCAGATACACAGAGGCGGATGTGATTCCCTGCTTAGGAAATGAAGCCAGAGATGCAGAGGAGAGGCAAGCGTTAAGAGGAGCCATTTTAAAGTAAGAACGGATAAAATAAGCGCACCGTTTTTTAGTGCTTCTTTGACATTTTATCAGTACTTATTTTCTCTTTTATTTTGCTTTACAAGTGGAGATACAACCAGCAGGTTCTCTCCAGAGCAAACCAAGTTGGCAAACTCAGGTGAGCAAATTGATCAAATTGACATCTGTGTCATTTTTGTGCCAATGTAGCTTTACTGTAGTTAAATCCACAGAGGAGATCAAAGTTAGTGAACAACCGACAATTTCCTACATTTTAAAGTCACTGCTTCGTCTTATTTGAAGGTAAAAGCAATTATTTTAAGCACATTTCATTCAAACAGATCAGTTTTTGTTGAACTTTGGGACACTGTATGCCAAGACTGTATGCCTTGGCCTGTTTAGCAATTCAAGCGGCAGCGTTGAACTGATTGCCTATTGAGATTCTCCACTGGATCCTGTCCTTTTGTGCTTTTGTCTCTCATGGACAACCAACCTTGATTTCCTCCTTTAGGGGATTTGGATAATTAGTGACATTGTAAAAAGTCAATATTTTAGAAATCACATATTTGAAAAGACCAGCTTTTCTTGCTTTGGCTCTTGGACTTTATCTGGACCACCTTCTGTCAGATTTCAGCCACTTTAGAACGGCTCACCGTCTTGCAAAGTCAGTAAAAAGTGCAACGTTGGACTGCCAGTTAAAGGAATAGTTCACCCAAAATTTATATTCTGCCATCATTTACTAACTCTTCACTCATTCAAATCATTTTTGAGTTTCTTTCTTCAGTTGAATATAAAGAAAACATATTTTGAAAAATGCTGGTTGATGGCTCCCATTGACTTCCATTGTAATATTTTTTCTACTATGGAAGTTGATGGGTGCCATCATCAACCAGAATGTCTTCTTTTGTGTTCAAAGAAGATTTAAAACCACACAAGGGTGAATTTATGATGAGGTAATTATCATTTGTCATCTATCCCTTTAAATATGGTTTGTGAGATATTAAACAAATTACCCGGGGGTGCCAGATTCACAACAATAAATGTTCTCTATAAGTGTTTGGTGTTCTTTTTGTAGTCTAATTTAATGTTGATTTAGAGTACATTGATTCAACATTTTAAGTTGTTCTATGATATCTACATGGTAAATAAATAAGTGGCAAAGTTCTGTTTAAAATGTTACATGATAAATTATAAACACAGGAATGGGGTATATGAGACTTTAATTTCAGTCACCATGTTTAAGATCTGATTTTTTTTTTTTAGAAATCAGTGATCTTCACTGCCTGGCTGAGATATGATACAAACAATCTGTTATAGACCAAACAAGAAGCACTGCATTAAGTTCTATTAAAAAAGTAATTTTACCCCAGTATTTTCAATGGAGTTTCTGTAGAAGCCTGCTGCTAATGATGACGCCTGCGTTTTAACGGTCTTTCATCTCTTTTTACGCTTTAACAACCAAATGGATGCTTAAGCCTATTTAACTGATTATATTTGAATTACATTACAACATCAATGCTGCAAACGGAACCTTATGAAATTGAAAATAGTCAAATAAACCCTGTCACCGTAAGTTCATCATTGACTGCAAAACACTATCTGTGCATAAAGCCCATTAGACCTACAATAAAAAGCTCTTTATGGCATTAAAATAAACTAGTTCGCTCCTGAGTTGTGTTTTGGTTTAAATATAGGCTAAATTATAATTTTACTTGCCAAAAGGGACTCACAGAGATATATTTAGAGTTACATTTTAAAGCTTTATCATATATGAAAACATATAAAGGAATTAATATCAACCTCTGAATTAACAGTTTTATTTAATTTAATAGCGATCATTTACTTAAGGAAAATGACAGTAAGAGCTGAGTGATCTGACCCAATGCATAAACATGCATTGAACACTTATACTCACAGTTTACATGTATTTGTTGCCTCATTACAAATAAATGTGACAATGTTCACAATACAAATGTTAAACTAACAAGCGATACATTTAAGCAGGCCTTCAGGGTGCTATTGAGTGGATGTATAATCTGTATATCCCGCACTTTGTGGTCTGATGCACTGTGAACAGATGGGAAACTTTGTGGTCACGCTTGGCTGCATACTTCACAGAACTATTTACTCATCTTAAAGACTGTCCCATTTCAAAATAAGAGTCTCACATATTAAGTACAATACAAGCTTAGGTAAGCTTAAAAATGAGGTGAGCACATTATCATTGTTGTAATCTTACTAGGAAATGTTGTGGCCAGTGAAATTTAGCCTTGGCGGTGCATATTATTGATTCCATTGTCACAGTTGGTGTGTTTGTTCCAATTGGCCTGTTTTTTACAACTGGATTTAACACTCAGATGATTTACATGAGTATGAGGTAAAATGGTGTTTGAGAAACGTAATCAGAACTCTTATTCTTCAGCTATGCTTACTGTATATCCAGTTGCTGTTCTTCTTTATACTGCAGTGATCTTAAAATTACGCAAAATGTGTAGGTTGTTCTCTAGATTTGATCTCCACTTTATATACAGTACAAGAAAGTATACATAAATCAATGGAATGATGTTTTCTGTCTGCAGAAACTCCTACTACAAGTAATGGGGAGGGTGACAACAATCTAAGCACAACATCCCCAAGAACCTGTAAAAACAGCGAGTTAGAGATGTAAGTAAAGTCACTTTAAATTAAAACTTCACCCATTTATTTTAAATCCATCTTATTATACTTCTAATATATAAGAATTCATAATTGAATGCATTGATGTACAAATACCGCTGGAGCAGTGGCATCGTTTTGCATGTTTTTAGACAGACTGAGGGTCAGATGAGAAATATACATACTCCTCTGTCCAGGCCTTTCCAACATTCATGTTATATTCTTGGAAGAGATCTCTGTAGAATCATGATTCAGCATTTCTCAAATCCTGTTGGGAAAAAGGATTTAAATGCGTTGTATGCGCCGGGACAGATTCTTATGCATTACAAATCATGCAACTGAGGTCAAGTTTGCACATGGATGCGACACATGAGGAATTATACATGACCCTTTCAATAAGACTCACACAAATCAGTTCTTCCTCAGCGGTGCTACAATTTGGCAGGTCCACCGAAGCGTGTTTGACTTATGTTTTAGAGTGTATCATTAATCAGTTTGATTGGTCCATTTATCAGGCAAGGAGTGTCAGATTCCAGGGGAACTATATGATATACTTTTTAAATGACTCTAAATGTATTATGTGTTTGTGATTTGTATTTGCATGCCCACCCACATGTTAGGGAATTAGCATTATTATTAACAACAATGTAACAAAGTAACAGTGACTCTCACTCACTTTCTGTGTCTCACATACACACACACACACACACACACACTGAGACAATGTAACAACATACAGCTTTAGAAAAAATGGCAATGGTAGCCAATCAAGTCATATTACATTATGAAGAACAAAAAACGATCATCTAGCCATATTTGTATTTTGATAACCTTGACGTTAATGAAGGTGGGACTTGTGCTTTTCAGCTGCAGGTCAGTTGCAGTGGCAGAAAAAAAAAAACTTCCTGAAACATACAGTATCTCATATATATGCTGAATCAGTGTTTCAGCTGTAGAACAACATTAGTAAACCATCTTGTGAACTATGTAATGTAATATCTTAAATTTGCATCAGGAACTCTATTCAGTATCCAACATTTTTTTGTTACTGTAGTAGGAAAATGATTATTATTTTAAATATTATTATTTTGATATCACATCCAAAACAAAATACTTTGTATAATATACTTAAAATATTTTAAAAAGACTCACATTTTAGATAAATACAAATGTTTATTTTTTGGTTTTGGATATTAAGCATCACGGTGGCACAGTAGGTATACAATTGCCTCACAGCAAAAAGGTTGCTGGTTCAAGCCTCGGCTGGGTCAGTTGGTGTTTCTGTGTGGAGTTTGCATGTTCTCCCCGTGTTCGCGTGATTTTTCTCTGGGTGCTCCTGTGTCCCACCCACAGTCCAAAAACAGGGGAAAAACAGGGGTACAGGGGAATTAGGTAATCGAAAATGTCCGTAGTGTACGAGTTTGAATGAGAGTGTACGGGTGTTTCTCAGTGATGGGTTGCTGCTGGAAGGGCATCCACTATGTAAAACATTTGCTGGATAAGTTGGAGGTTCATTCCCCTGTGTCGACCCCAGATTAATAAAGGCACTAAGCCGAAAATAAAATAAATGAATGAATTATATTATATTATTTCATTTCATTCATTTTCTTGTCGATTTAGTCCCTTTATTAATCCGGGGTCGCCACAGCAGAATGAACCGCCAACTTATCCAGCGAGTTTTTAGGCAGCGGATGCCCTTCCAGCCGCAACCCATCTCTGGGAAACATCCACACACACATTCACACACTACGAACAATTTAGCTTACCCAATTCACCTGAACCGCATGTCTTTGGACTGTGGGGGAAACCGAAGCACCCAGAGGAAACCCATGCGAAGGCAGGGAGAACATGCGAACTCCACACAGAAACGCCAACTGAGCCGAGGTTCGAACCAGCGACCTTCTTGCTGTGAGGCGACAGCACTACCTACTGCACCACTGCCTCGCCCTATATTATATTACATTATATTATATTATATTATATTATATTATATTATATTATATTATATTATATTATATTATATTATATTATATTATATTATATTATATTATATTATATGCCTTTATTCCACATTGCAAGCATATGTAAATTATAACAATTTTATTTATTTCTTTATTTATATAAATATACAATTTAAGATGCACAAAAAACATTATAAAATAATAAATGCACTGTATGTGTACACTGGCGGAAGATGGTTCTGGCATGCAGCATATTTTTGTATCTGATCTATCGTTGCTCCAGTAGGTATTTAGCCTGAGGACCAGGGCACTTATTTCATATTTCCAGCAGACAGCTACAAGAGGAAAAACCAGCATTCATTATGCTTATATTTGGCGGCTATTACATGAGGCATTTTTGATGGATCACTTAAACCCCCCTGCTGTCATAGTTCAATTCCTGAGAGCTGATTAAATGGGGATGCGTTGGCCAGGATGTTCCTACCGGGGATTAGGGGGCTCTGAGCGAGTGTTATTTAATTGTGGTGAAGTGGAAACAGTCGAGTGAGGAAGGGTTAGTGAGGCGGGAAGGAGGACTGTTCCTGACAAATGACAGAGAGCCGCGGGGCGCCTGCAGACCGGCCCGGTGTGGACACGCTAATAAAGCAATTACACTGAGACAATGTTTGCACACTGCGGCGACACGTCTGCCCCCTCACCTGCTGTAAGAGACACCTAAAGCTATTTTTGCACACATTGGAAGTTGTATATTTTTGGAATCATGTTGTAAATTTAAGGCATAGTTCAGCCAAAAATTTAAAATTTAGTTACTCTTGTTACTTTATCCTCAGGTCATCCAAGATGTAGCTGATTTTTGCTGAATTCGCTTGAAAATAATACAGTTTGAAAAAGTCAACAACTACTTTTGGAGTCTAAAAACTCATATAAGAAAATAGAATTATTATATATGTAACTCCTGATGATACATTGAGGTCCTATAAAATAAAACAATTGCTCTGTAATAATAATAAACACATTTTTTTTTCCAGTCGGCACTTTTTTCTTGGCACACTGACACAGATATTGCATGTGTGTTCACTTGTGATTGAAAAAAGTTTATTAGATCATTCAACAACTGTTATTTGACTTGCTTCTGACACTGAGCTATAAACACAATTCATTCATTCATTCATTTTCTTTTCGGCTTAGTCTTTTAATTAATCTGGGGTGGCTACTGCGAATGAACTTATCCAGTATATGTTTTAGACAGGGGATGCGCTTTCAGCTGCAACCTATCTCTGGGAACACCCATACAGTCTCATTCGCACACATACACTACTGACAATTTAGCTTACGCAATTCACCTATAGAGCATGTCTTTGGACTTCTGGGGGAAACCGGAGCCCCCGGAGGAAACCCACATGAACATGAGGAGAACATGCAAACTCCACACAGAAATGCTAACTGCACCTGCCTGAGGCTTGGACCAGCGACCTTCTTGCTGTGAGGCGACAGCCCTACCAACCGCGCCACCACGCCGCCCTAAACACAATACATTCACATTAAACCTATTTATAAATGCCCCACATTAAGTAATTTTACGAAAGTTTTAGTCTTAAATATATTTACTATTATTGTACTTTTATTGTTATTTTGTTGTATTGTTATTGTTTGTTTTTCTTTTTTTCTACTTCAATCGAACATGTTTTTTTTCTGTATTATGCTTGATGTATAACTTTGTGTTTCAAAAAAGTGCAGTAAACATAAAATGTATTATTTTTATTATTATTATTATTATTATTATATCTACAGCAAAAAAACTGAAACATATTTTACATGTTACGTATGTTCTACAATTTGGTTAAAAACACGAACACCTTTCAAAACCTTTCTACATGTAAAAATAATGACATAAATTATGTACTGTAGCTTCAGTTATTATCTTCAGTTATGAAAATTCAATCAAAACTTAAATGTTTGTACATAAACCTATAAATCGGCCTCTTTTTATTTCAGCTCTAAAAAATATTAAAACTAAAAAAACATAATAAAATGTAAAAACCAACAAATAATTCATCTTGGTCTCAATCTTCAGTCACTAAAAGAATTCTAATCTCAAGAAATTAACATCATCTAGAACAAATGTTATGCACACACACAATGAGTTGTAAATTATATACATTATTTTAAAGTTTAAGCTTACGGCCCAATACCAATTATATTATTGTACCCTGCCCTTCCCCTTGGCCCTTGAAACAGAGTGTGAAGAAGAAGAGCTTTAAAATTTACCCCTAAGAAATGGGGCAGCACTACAGCACCTGCACACATCATCATGTTTTCGCAATCTCTTGCTTCATATGAGATTGACGATGGGGACTGCAGTAGTTGTTCTAGTTGCATTATATTTTTCTATTTTTTATCTTATTGTAACTGTACTGTGCATTTACACCATGGCCTTATTCATCTATGTAAACACACAAAAACAACATTAATATTATACCAGACACTGTAAAAAGGGCCATTCCCAGCCACTAGACTGTTCTGATAGGGTATTCAAGCGTCAACGAGTGACTGAATGTTGTAGGACTATTTTACAGGAGTTATTATTAGGGATTACAGATAGCGAAATTTAGCGTTTTTTATGTTTAAGCATGACGGTAAAACAGGAACGCGGTTATAAATGTGTTAAAACATATGCTTGTTTGTTGTAAAACTTCGTAATAATGACAATAAAATACTAATTTGTGCATCTCCTGACTTCCATGTGTAGCCGTGCTGGCGTTGTAGATGGAGTATTCTGGGAAGTTTTCTTACCCCTTGGTTTCAAGTGTGGTCCTGAAAAATCTCAGTTTTAAATGCTATCTAGCCCTTCCCCTTAGCCCTACGCCTTCAAGCTATAGAAAATGTGAACTCGCAAAACGAAAGGAAGGGCTAAGGTCTAGAATTGGGATTGGGCCTACATATTTTTATATATTTATTTATATTTTTGTTTGTTTGTTGTTTACATTAATTTTCATCCTTGTAGGAATTTCCATCCATTAACTTGAACATGCACGTGCCATATACACTGTACAGTATGGCAATGTCAAGTGTTACAATGTTGAATCTTCTTCTGAAAGCACCTTGTTTAATGATGCAATCTGTCTTTTGATTACAGTTCGTGTGTGATTTAGTATTCATAACATGCAGCCTTGGGCGACACTCTCTAATCAATCTCTAATGGATTTCTTCTTTGTGTCGTTCAGCTTATCGGATGACCCCTCCCTCAACACGCTGGAGGCCCTGAAAACACGCATCCGAGACCTGGAGAAGCAGCTCACGCGAGGGGACAGATTCAAGTGTCTCATCTGCATGGTAAACTTGACCTCGCTCTTTACAAATTACAAGAATGAAAAATAAAAAGAGCAGGAAAACATTCCCAATTTAGCTCTATGGCATGAATTATATACTGTAAATGCTACCATTTACAAGTTTGTGGCTAGTAAGGTTTTAAAGGTGACCTATTATGCCCCTTTTTGCGAGATGTAAAATAAGTGTCTAATGTCCACAGAGTGTGTGTGTGTGTGTTTGTGTGTGTGTGTGTGTGTGTGTGTGTGTGTGTGTGTGTGTGTGTGTGTGTGTGTGTGTGTGTGTGTGTGTGTGTGTTTCAGCTTAAAATACCTCAAAATAATATTTTATAACTCTTTGAAACTGCCCCTTTTAGACTTTAATCCAAAATATGCTGTTTTGGTGATTGTCACTTTTAAAATCAAATGAGATTGAGCTCCACGCCCTCTTTTTAATAGAAGAAAGAGCTATGCAGCAGATTAAAAACTCTGGGAGACGGCTGCTTCTCACTTAGGGCTGTTTATGGTATAAGGGAGAGATTGTCTCCAGTGGGCGGGCCTTCCCCCTTTGATGACATGTACAAAGGGAGAATGTCAATCAAAGTGTTTCTGTACACTGTTTTTATCAAGTGTGATTATAAAAAATAGAATTAATTCATTTTTACTATAAGAGGCTATCTATATTTACAGGCACACAACTGTTTAAACTCCTTATAAAAGTGATTTATCCATAATAGGTCCCCTTTAAAAATAAATACAATTTTAGATGAAATATTCAATATATTGCAACACAAAAAAATATAATTGTATATTTTGATATACTTAATAGTTGTATTAAATTCTGTCGACACTAATTTATAATCAACTCCTACTCCAGACTTGAGTGTCACTTGATTCTTCAGAAATCATTGCAATATGCTGATTTGGAGCTAAATCATATATATATATATATATATATATATATATATATATATATATATATATATATATATATATATATATATATATATATATAATTTTATTTTTTATTTTTTGTGGAATTTTTTGCGTTACTTAAAAAAAGGTATTAAGTATAAACATGTTTTATTTTAAGAAATTATTCAGTTATTATAAATGTCTTTACTGTCACCTTTGGCTAATTTAACATCCTTACTGAATAGAAATTTTAACAAATCTCAATGATTCCAAATTTTTAATGGGAATGTGTTTGTGTGTGTTTATTTTGAGCTAAACCTGTTTTAAAAAAACTCCTTTTGATGGCATGCTAAATGTGAAGAAGTTATTTGTATGATGTATATTACATGATATTCACTTTTTCCTTATGTTATTTATTTATGTAAATATATATTCTTTTTCAGGACTGCTACACAGTACCTCTGACCTCTATCCAGTGCTGGCATGTCCATTGTGAGGAGTGTTGGCTTCGCACCCTGGTGAGATTATAAATATGTATCACACTGTCTTTAACAAAAGATTTTCTGCCATACTATGATTCATTCACACTGCAGGCAAATGTGGACTCAAATCTATTTTGTCATAACAGTGTAAACAGCACAAACCCTATTGTATTCAAATTAATTTTGTGCGCCTTTAGGTGTTATATTTTTTATATTCAATTTACTACAGATCTGATGTTTAGCAATGGCACTGCAGCGTGAACGGTTATGTCAGATTTAATTTAACTTTTACAAAACTTTTGATTGACGTGTCATTATTCTGCACTGGCACATACTACTAACATCCACAGCGACTTTATGAGTTCACTACACTGTGTGGTGAGTCTTGGCTGATCAATGTGAAATGCTATGCAAAAGAAAATTAAGATGTTGATTAAACCCTAAGATTCCAGATTTTTAAATACTTCTTGACAAAATATTACCTTTTATTAAAGGGGTGGTCTACATTGTATTTTTAAATCACATTACTTTTCATATATATATTACTTTGATTATATACTGCTACTTAGCTAACATGAAAACAACTGTTATATTTCCTAGTTTCTCTGAAAGGCCCACCCTCAAGAGGCTCTGATTGGTCAACTAACATAATGTGCTGTGACCCTACAAGCATGCGCTTTTGAATCTGAATCAGACAGAAAATGAAGAGCACACAGCTGAACCTCACACCTGCTCTCTAAAATAAAATCTGACAAGTGTTTTTCACATACATTCGGTATAAGCATGTGTAAGTAATAAGAAATGTTCTCAAATCTTTTGCAAGTTTGTTATTTGAGATGTAGAACGCACGGAAAGCAGCCATATATAGAGACACTCGTTGGTTGGAGAAGTTTTTAGACAAATTCAGCACTGAACGGAGAGAGATTCTGGAAGCTGTCCTTTGTCAAATGCTAGCTATATATTTTTAAAATTCTCTGGAACATAATTAAGATTAAACTGTAATCACTTCTCACATCGTGCCGTGTCCTTTTGAAAGCCCAAATACAGAAACAGAACAAGCTCTGTGAAAAAAGCAGCATTTGGACGGCATTTTAGCTTTCTCTGCTATAACATTACAGCACCTCTGGCCACGCCCCTTCGCTACGCAGGGTGTGTGCGCAAGGTGAATGCAAGTAACCAGAAGCCCTTGTAATCTCACTAGCCTAGATGTATTATTTGTAGTCCCCAAATTTTTTCGCTGTAGACTTTGCTAAGCTAACTCTGTAAAAGCCAAACTCCCTTTGCATTGAACTTTGAGCGTATTACATTCAGAGATGTTGTTTATGTTCACACAGCTACATTAGACGTCAACTAAAGTTTAAAATATGATATGGTAGTGGCCCATCTCTTTAAAGAACCAAACATCAATGAAAAGCATATTCAACTTTCAAATAATGTACAAATCTCAATTTCCAGAAATTGACTGATTTTTGGTCCAGAAAAATGTTAATTTATCTTCAATTCTCTCTTTTTCAGGGAGCAAAGAAACTGTGTCCGCAGTGTAACACCATAACCTCACCAGGGGACCTAAGGCGAGTGTATTTGTGAAGAGTTACCGTCCTGTCATCTGCCTGTTTGCACTCCACACAAACGGATCACTTTCACTAAGGAGAACCTTTCTGGGCCAAAGCTAAACTCAAAGGACATTCAGAGTCATTGAAAAAGTTCCCGTTGGAATGCAACCTAGTTACACAAAGACCACTGTGCTCATTTCTTGATGAAATGGTAAAATTTTAAAGTATTATTCTTCACAACAGTACCGCAAGGACAGTAAAACTGATCACAAGAATCGTTCCTATGTATAAAAGCTGTTTTACAAGATATTGCTAAGTTATTCTCATAGAGAAAGCTCTAAAGCAATCTGTCCAATAGTTTGGTGAATGTTTACACTGAAGACTTCTTTTCTAATTTGGATCTAGCAGTGTTGATATGAAACGGTATACGGTTAACTTTGTTTTGTGTAGAATGTGCAAAAAGATAATGATATTGTATAATTATTTTCCATACTTCTGTAACTGTAATTTAATAGTGAATGGGATCTTTTAAATATGCTTTAAGATAAATGATCATTTCACCTGATGGGTTCATATTGTGTAATTGTTTCTTTCATGCGTTTAAAAAAATGATTTAGTGTATTTTACAGTACAGTACATCTCATTATACATCACATGTATTAAATGTATTTATTTATTAAAATTCTACAACCAATACCCCATAATGAAAATGTGAAAAAAAGATTTTTTTTTTTATTGTTGCAAATTTATTAAAAATAAAAAACCCTGAAAAATCACATGTACATAAGTGTTCACAACCTTTGCCGTGTAGCTCTAAATTGAGCTCAGGCACATTCTGTTTCCACTGATCATTCTTGAGATGTTTCAGCAGCTTAAAGGGAGTTCACCTGTGGTAAATTCAGTTGATTGTACTTGATTTGAAAAGGCATACACCTGTCTATATAAGGTCTCAGGATTGACAGTGCATGTCAAAGCACAAACCAAGCATGAGGACAAAGGAATTGTCTGTAGACCTCCAAGACAGGATTGTCTCAAGGCACAAGGCTGAGGAAGGTTAAAG